AAAAAAGTTTTGAATTTTGAGATGATTCTGTTCCACAGCAGCTAAACAGTAAACCAGATATATCTTTTAAAGTAAAAACTTTGCAGGAGCACGACTGGACAAGATATAACGAAACGAAGAGAGAAGAAACCTGTACCATGAAATATCAACACCATGCAGTCACAAAGAATAACGGGTGCCTAGGACCGTAATAGATGGAGAAAGTTGGTGGGAATTTTTGAAAGATTAGCACTTTCAATCTCGAAGAAACGAAGTTAAACACAAAATCCGTTTTGAAACGGGCGCTTGCACAGATCAGTTGAGAACGAAGTACAACCGAGCATAGACGAAGGCAGAGACATACCGTATGTAGATGGGAGGTAGAGCAGCTAGCTGAAGGCAGTGGTATTTTCTCGCAAGGTAAACAGACAGAAGACAAGGAAAGAAACGTACAAGTTCTTTTCATCCTTTCTGTTTTTTAGTCTTCTAACCTATGTATACCCTATGGAAATCATTTGCACCAAAACCAGCATTACATTTTGGGCACTTCCGCTGCCGTGTGTCATACCTGGAAAAATGAGGATATGTCGATCACTGATTACTTTAGAATGACACTAACTAAAAAGCTTAGAATAACAACTTGCCTCGTCTTCAAACACTTCATGCAGAATACATGGAAGCACTTGGTCAGAATCGCATCTTTTCGATTAACTTTGCAAGACGGACATGTGAGGACGTCCTACAACGAAAAGACATACATGACATAACTTACAAACACGTTTGAGTCAAAATTACGTATATAATCGTATAAAACTATTCAGAAACACTGTCATACACATCCAAAAACAGGAAAACACTTTTTAGTAAAGTATTTTGGACTTCAATCGAGAATATGGGAGAACGGAGAATCTATAAAGATATATAGATATAGTTAATTAAGAATGTATTCATCTGAATAACAGACAGCTCAAAATTTATAAAACAAAAGGGTAATCTTCTTTCAGAGAGAAAACATAAGTAAATGCATTGCAATCTCCTAAGACTGTTTCTATGACAAAAATATACCTAAAAAAAGGACTGCAAATTTACAAAAACTAATTACCAAAGGAGAAAAACTCCAAATTCCTGCATGGGCATATGAGTAATGTGTACAAACCTTCAACTCCCTTATCTCTTCCATCAACACAGCATCAGTGCTACCCAGCTTCTCACTCTTCTTCGCTCGTTCCAAACGTTTTCGAAGTGTTGAGTTCTCCTCTTCCAACCGACGTTTTCGTTGATCCACCACTTCTAGTTGCAAAGTTTTGGATGCAACAACCTATACAGTTAGCATGAAATTAAATCGAGCGAAGCCCTTCCGATGGGCAGAAAAGGAAAAGTGAAAAAAAAAGCTGTTTCGATACAAAGAATGAACAAATTGGAACACCTCGAAAACCCTTTCTTGCAACGTCTAGAGCAACGAAACAAACCTCTTGGATATCCCTTAGCTGCGCGGCCATTTTTTCGCTTCTAGTTCCCAGATCAGTGGTATTCAAGGACTGTTCGGTCACCTGCTTTCGCAAAGCCTCTATCATACGATTCTGCCGCCTAAAGGATAATGCATAAATGAAATAAAACTCACTAATCAAATTAGTGAACTTCTATATCAACTTGGCATACTCACACATTCTCCTTTGTCTTAACACCTATTGTTTCCAGTGCTAGCCGTAATGCTTCGTTTTGCGACTCCTTTTCACACTGTAACGCTGCTATCTGCCTAGTCAGGTTATTCACCTGCGA